ATTTAAGGAATTCATCTCTCTTAGAATGACATATGTATTCAGAATCTTTTCTGTTGCTTTAACCATATTCAAACAAATGTTTCTTTTTAAAATATTCTCTCTGTTAGATCCCATCATCTATTTTCTTAATTTTCACTTTGATCTTTTTCCTTTGACCAGTATCTTTCTTAATCAATGTGATTTGCTGAATCAAAAAGTTTTTCCATATATTCATGACTGCTGCTATAGGCATAAGAAGTAAATCAAATGTTTCTTTTTTTTGTAGATGTAATGTCCTTAATTTATATAGCTTACTGTTTTCTACTATTTAATTGCTTTTCCTGAAAAAGAATAAAGTGATGGGCGATGTAGAAAAATGTATACTTTGTCCTGTTAGTGCTTATTTCTGTAAAAAAAATAGGGCTGGACACTAGGGGGCAGATTGGTTTTAAATTCAGAGAATAGCTACCCGTATATTCCGGTGTATAAGACGACCCCCCGACTTTTGAGAAGATTTTCAGAGTTTAGAAATGCGTCTTATACACCGGAAAATATGGTATAACCTAAAAGAAAATTTCTATAAAATGATGTATTGCTGGTATTTAACACCAGATAAGTTATCTAGAATGTATAAAGGTATTTCAAATAAATGTTGGAAATGTAAATGTAAAGAAGGGACTTTTTATCATTTATGGTGGACATGTGATAAGGCAAAGAAATATTGGAGTAGGATTCATATATTAATGGAAAAAATTCTTAAAGTTAACATGAAGATTAAACCAGAAACTTTCCTTCTGGACCTAATGGAAAGAGAACTGGAAAAAAACATTGGAATTTTTATTTTATATATGGTGATGGCAGCAAGACTGTTCTGTGCACAAAAGTGGAAGGATGCATCAATTCCTCCCATGGACGAATGGTTACAAAAGAGATGGCCAAATTGACTGTGCTGATTAAAGAAAAAAACACAAGTACTCTTGTTTCTACTTGGAAATCTCTTCTGGACTTTGTGCTTGAGGTGAAAAAAATGATATCATGATTTTGGGTTTTATCAATTAGACTGATTTGCCACACAAAATAGTGAGCACTCAGTTTCTTGTGATCCTTTCAGTCCAGATTAGATTTATGGAAGGAGATGGAAAGATTAGGTTACTGTCATTATTCTGGAACGTATAGCCCCATGGACTGCATAGCTCTATGTAACCCTAACTAGAGAGCAGGTATCAGTGTGTTGGAGTTGCAGGAGAACGCACCCAGTGGCATCTCCACCCACAGACAGCACCTCAGAAGCTGATATACAAGTAGCGACCCCTAGTGGTCAAAGAGAGAAGTTCTTCAAATTTTCTTCAAAATAGCTGAGAAGAACACTTAACCTATCCTAGCCATAGCAGAGCGTCCTGCTGGTCTAGCAGAAGGGATTCAACCAACCAGCCAGTCAAGGAGAAAGGCTGCCAACAGCCAACCTTAACCTGCACAAAGAGGCTGAAGCTCAAGCCTCGACAAAGCCAAAAATGTCTCAGGGTCAATACGATCTTAGACAACGCAGAAAGCTCACAGCAGCCATGAACTCACATCTGATGGACACCATCCACAGGTGCAATGAAAGAGGCTGGGAGAGATTGTACAAACTCTACCATGAACAAAAGGAGTGTTCCCCACAGCCCAAGCCTCACCAGAGAAGCAGACCGATCAACAGAGCCGAGTCCGAAATTTCCCACTATTCACATGCACCACACCAATGGTCGCATGCGGCTCCATCCCATGTGTCTGGAAAGGCCGCATCCTTTCACCACACATCCAGGGCATATTCCAGCGTGTCCCAACAATCGCATGTCACAGGCGCCTCCCGCCTTTCGAAGGCATCCTCCCGCCATAGCCGAACATCCAGAATTTCACAGGAAGAGCAAATAATCATAGATGCTAAAGCTGCTGAAGCTGTCTTTCATGTGGCACAAGAGGAGAGGCAGAAAAAGAAGGAGTTGGCGGCCATAGAACTCGAAGAAGCTGAAATAGAGGCCAAGCTAGAAGCCGAAACAGCAAAAGTGAAGGACGATCGAGAAAATGAAGCAGCTCAAATGGAAGCCAAATGAAAGGCTATGGCAGCTAAAATGAAGGCCAAAAGAAAAGACACCCAAGTAGAGCTTGAACTTGTTCAAAGCCAAAGAGATATGGCAGACAAAATGGCTAGAGCGGAAGTCCTTCAGAAAATACTCCAGCACACCACTTTCTTGCCAAATGGGGAGCAACTGGGAAAGGAAGAGCGTTGTAGCCACGCACAGGCCTACATGGACAACCAAAGCGCATTCCAGAATGCACAGGTGAGAGTGCCACAGCCAGCAACAAGCCCCCCAAGACCGAGTAGGCAACCAGAGGAATCTCAACGACCAGATCCGGCAATCAGCCACAGAGTTGATGTCGAGATACCGAGGCCACAAGATCTCCCTACCGTTGCCGCCCCATTGAACCCTATAAAACCACATCTACAACCCTGCACGCTTGTGACAACCAAACCTGTTTTGGTAGCAACAGTGTTCCAACCGCGCCTAGAACAACACTGCATGCTTGTGACAACCAAACCTGTTTTGGTAGGAACAGTGTTCCAACCGCACCTAGAGCATCGCGCGCTTGTAACAACCAAACCTGTTTTGGAAGCAACCATGTTCCAGACAAGCAAGACTTACTACAATTTAGCTTTGTCCATTAAGGACAAACAAGACAAACAACATCTCCAAGACTGGGAGTCACGGAGCATACTCCCAAGAAGTATCCAAAGCATGCAAGTGCAACGTACGTATGTTTCCAGCTCACCTGCCCCAGTGCAGAAGAAAGAATTATATGCTTCCTTAGATGTGTCTACGAAGGCAACTGCAGCCTTAAGATACGTCTCACTCTACAGCGGGGAGAACCACACTTACGTTACCTTGTTTGCAACCATAAGATGCATCAGAGTCTACAGCGGGGAGTGCTGCAGTCTTGGTGTTTTCTTAAGGAAAGCGAGACTAACAATACAAGAAGGCCACACCGTACCAAGGTTACAGCTATGTGGCACCACTTTGGCTGTAAAGCTGACCAACTTGACAGTGAAGACGTTGTGCCTTGAACTACAGTCCACCACCTTCTACGCAGACAGCAAGGTGATGTCAAGCTACATCTACAAACAAAGCAGACACTTCTACGTCCATGTAAGTAACAGAGAGAAAAGGATTGAAACATCCTTAAGCCCTGAACAATGGCAACATGTGCCAACAAATAAGAACTTTGTTAACCAAGTGAAGTGGCCCAACCTTGCCACACAGATAACAGAATTGATCTGGCTAGAAAGTTTTCAGTTCTTGGCCTGTCCAAATAGACAGATGCCACAGAAACCAAAACGTTATGCACTTCCAGCTTCAGATCAAAGTGCCAACCTTCAACCTCAGACACCCAGTAAACATCAACCAATCTGCTTCAAAACCCTGTCTAAGCGGAGACACCTGAAATTAGCCATACTTTTAATTGTGTTGATCACTTGTCTCAGCACCCCAAGAATTAGCTTTGTAGGAGCCTGCAAGGATTTACTGACTTTCATGGACTCCATGTCGTTAAAGACACCCACACCCACACATGAAGTCCTCACTACCCTGACGACAAAAGTAGCAGCCCTCTTCAATACTCCACCGGTGGTTCCAGACCCTTCGGTTCTTGAGTATCCTGAGTCTTCTGCTCAAGCTGTTGTTCCTGATTCTTCAGTTCCAGCTGTTGTTCCTGATTCTTCAGTTCCAGCTGTTGTTCCTGACTCTTCAGTTCCAGCTGTTGTTCCTGATTCTTCAGTTCCAGCTGTTGTTCCTGACTCTTCAGCTCCAGCTGTTCCTGTGTTTCCAGATCCAGCTGTTTATGTCTTTCCAGGTTCTTCGGTTCCTGAGTATCCTGTGAATCCAGTTCCCCTCATTCCCAAGAAGCTTGGGTTCCAGTTTTTTCTGTTCCAGATTTGGTTCCAGTTTTCTTCACAGGAAGAAGAAGACCTTGTCTCAGTGGGAGACAAGACTGCATGCCAGAACTATTGGCCCATGGGACTTGCGCACCGGGCCCACCCACTTGATGAACTAGTTTGCCCAGCTGAGGTCCAGATTGTGAAGCCACGTGAGTCAGGCTGTGACTCAAAGACACTTGTACCAGGCTGATCACCGATTTGTTCCCGTTGCTGATGAAGACTGAACCAGAAGATCAAACCTCAAACTATGTATTGTCTTATGCATTGTTTGATGTAACACTTGCCTTTTTTTGCATTATTGTTCATGTCTTATATTTACCAATAGTTATGCATGTTTAATACCAAGTTTTTTACCTATTTAGTCACAAGTTAGTTAACAGTGAGTATTGCATGCCTTTATGCTATGTTTTTACTATTTTAGTAGTGGAAATATAAATTTCCAAGCGGGGAGTATTCTGGAACGTATAGCTCCATGGACCGTATAGCTCTATGTAACCCTAACTAGAGAGCAGGTATCAGTGTGTTGGAGTGTCTGGCAGTTATTGGGTTAAATGCTACGTATGTTGATGGGTCAGTGGGAGGAGTATCAAAGGTCATTGAGAGACTTCCTGGACACAAGCCACATGGGAATCTCTTTGTCTGTAAGAAGCATGGGCCACACAATAAGCCTGAGTCGTTATAAAGATGGTATGGAAGAGCATCATACTCTTACCTAAAGGGATGGTCTAAAGAGATGAACAAAGATGTATTTTCCAGGAGTATCAACCACAGCGTGAACGCAAGTAATCTTTCTCATTAAAATGTATTTTTGTTTATTATAAGATCATTTCTTTTGAGTTGTCTATCTGACTGGATTTAAAAGAAGGCGCTTTTATTTTTGAGTCAGAATAGTCATTATTTGCCTACGGTGACATTAGATTATCACACATGAAGCCAGATGAGAAGACTATTATTTAAAATTAAATTTATGCAAAATACTACATTAATTAGCTTAAAAATCCAGAAAAAGATTTTAATAACTATCACTTTGGTTTTTTTTCTCATTTAATAGTAAAGAGGAAACATTGACAACGGCTGATAAAGACATTTGGATTAATCCCAGAATCTCAGGTAGCAAGTCTCAATCAATTCAGCCTTCTGTAGTTTGTATAATATATTTTTTAAAGCATCTAGGTGAATCTTATTCAATAATTCATTTTTTTAGCTTCAGACATCCCTCAAATCATTTATTCGCATGTGGATAATGAAAAGAAACACAGAAAAGAAAATGAAGAAGAAAAAAATGATGACTGTAATGAAGATGACAAAGAAAATGAGAAAGAATTGGAGTTGCTGGTAAGCTTTCAGAATCTTTTACAGCAGCATTCCCCAACCTTTCTGGGTTGGCAGCCCAGAATGGGGGAAGGGGGAAGGGATAGTTTTGTGTGATGGGCAGGCTCATGCAAGTGAAGCTACAAGCGCTAGTGCCCACTGCTCATGTGAATGGGGCTGTGTGTGGCATGTACATGGCAGACCACCACTCATGTGGCCAGTTGCGAATAGGCCATGGCCCGGTAGTGGGCCGCTACTAATGATGGGATTCAGCCAAACTAGTAGCTAAATTTTGTTGAGTTAGGAGAACCGGCTGAATGCACACTGCTTTCAGAAGTCTGTTCTAGGCCTGGGAGGCCTGATGGATGCCTCCCAGGCCTAGAATGGCCCACTGGAAGTGTAGGGATGCCACTTCCGGAAGTACATTCTAGGCCTTGGAAGCCTGGAGGAGGCCTCCTAGGCCTAGAATGGCCCGCTGGAAGTTCGGGGATGCCACTTCCGGAAGTCCTTTCTAAGCCCCAGGCCTGCATCCATGCAGATAACCAGTTGTTCAGGGATTTGAATCTCACCACTGGCTGCTACTGACAGGTTGGGAGCCCCTATTTTACAGAACAATCTGAAGAAAGAAACTGCTATGACTTTAAGGTACTTTAAAACATTTTCAGCTGTATATCAAAATGCTGGATATAGAATCAAACAACATTCTCCGTTCTTTTATTTTCTAAAATAAACAAATATTTCTTTCTGTTACAAACAAGGAACATTTATTTAGACCAACCAAAACTTTGATAAAACTTTTCCAGGGGAGACACAAGAAAGCTAGTGGAATTTTCTTCCATTGAATAAAAAAGAATTCTTCAGATTATTATTCTCTCTCCTTCTGCCCCATCTCTCTGGCCTCTTATTGACTAACCTGTGGACATTTTTCTGTGGACATTTTTAAGTTGGACATAACTTCTTATTGAGTTTTAGAAGTATAAAATTCAAAAACCAGCAATAAAAAATCAGCAGGGATTTGATATTGGATATCCCTGACAGACTATTATGTCTATCATCTCAAACTATATACCCTGGTATGTTTCCTCAGCAACCAAAGGATTGCAGTCTTCTTACTGAGGAAGGTTGAGGAATGGTAGCTCATGAACTACATACAGGCTTGACATTTGTTTGGGAAAAAATAATATCACTGATTTTTTAATAAGTTTTCAATCATTTTTCTTCAAAAAAAACCCTGAAAATTGTTCAGATTTAATGTAGCAAGAATGCTGTCACTAATCTCCATATCTCCAAATTCAACCCTCATTCTTAGAAATCATGGCCCTGTCTACTTTGATGACAGATTACTGTGTTGTCTACATGGTACTCAACCATCCAAAAAAGAACAGTCTGTGGTCAACAGTCTGTGGTCAACAAAACTTTGTTCGCTTCTGTTAGACAATATTATTATATACAGTATTCCACAAGAGGAAGGCTTTTCTCTACTTCAACAGTGGTGATACATATACTACATAATTTGCCAATGCTATGTTACTAACAGAGTATGAATAAAGGATGTAGGATGTTTTGAAACAGTTTGTTTTGTTATCTTTCATTTAACAACTTATTTCTCTTTTTATCATAGGATATAAGGAATAATTTGAAAACAATAGAATAATAATAACTTCAATTCTTATTCTTCTGATTTCTATTATTGCATTTTTCCCCCTTTTTTCTAGTTCTACAGTTAGGGAGCCATGCATATATAACTAATGGCTACTCAGTAGTGATTGTTTGTAAGCTCATGAAAGAGCAAAAGCAATGATGTTGCGAATGAATCTTTTTAGCATTTGATAATTGTATAAAATACATTTTAATGTGGCACCAGATTTATAGATTGATTTTAAAAAATTGCTCCTTGTCCAGAATTGATTTTGAAAAGAATAATAGCAGGGAAAAATTGCACCTGACCATAGATATCACCTTCCAGATGTAAACACATATTCCTAATATTGACTAAATCACATTGATTTTATAAAGAAATATATGTATATTAAACATTATTTTTAATCTCAATGCCACTTATATTGCACAAATGTTATTCATTGGGTTAACCTGCATTTTATGAGAAGAAAAATAGCATAGCTATACATACACAACTAAATAAGCAGGAAATATAATGTTATTTGTGAGTGAAAACATAAAATCTGAAATACACAAAAGGACACCCTAAACATTAGAGCCACATAGCCATTTTGGGTAGGGAGTAAGACAATTCTTCAGACAAAAGCTCAAAGCTATCTTAGCTCTAACTTTAGGAGAGTTCAAAGTTGTCATTCAGAATGGAGCTTTTATTGCCAGAATAATCAGCACTGAAATATTATTATTTTTTATAAAAAGCATTCCCGATACAAGACTTAAGTATATAGATTTTTTAAAAAATCTATATACCTGGTCAAAGCTCAACCCATTCATTTTATGTGCTGCATAATGAATTAAACAATAGAGGTCTATAATAAATGGAAATGCGACCAAATCTTTGAAACCCATAGGCGATGGCTCACATGACAGCTCGGCAGTTGACAAGTAACATCAGCCTTATGTGAAAAGGGGAAATTGTAAGATTTGCATATAATTATTGAAATCATGCAAATGTCAGTTATAAGGAGGGAGATGGGGTGGAGCGAGGTGAGAAGAAACAGGCATCTCACTATTAAATCCTGACAGTTGGCATCACTGAAAAGCTCAGATACATTTGAGGACTAGTTGGCAGAGGGTCATTAAAATAGAATTTGCAGAAACATTAGTTCCTTCACTTTTCTTTGACTGACGTTTTACTATTAATAGTTTGCAGAGTCTTTGCACAAAACATATTAATAAGAGAAAATGTAATAGGGTATCTGCAGCAAGTGTAAATGTAATAAGGGGGTATCCAAGTTGCTACCTTCTAATTGATTGATATAGAACCATCCATCTATGCATTTGAAAGCAAGAGAAGAATGCCATAAGGAGCAAATGCTGTTGAATAATATAATTTAATATTGGGGCAATACTGAAGAAACTTCTTTGTGGCTTTTTCTAATTTTCAGTTTCTGCAGTTTCTAAAACATTCTTGTCTGAGAGGTCCTGGGAGAAATGAAACAAACATAATCCTTATAGTATTTGTCAGTGTGCAAATGTGTTTTATTTTACTGGACAATACTGTACATTCTTAGCTTTGATGTTTTGCGTCACTGCACTCACTTTAAAATAAATCATGCCTAGAATGGAATGTGCTCTCTGAATGAATTAGCTTGCCTTGTACAGAATTTTCTCTTCAGGATTCATTTCTATGAAACATTTGAAACTTACTGAGCTCATGAATAAACAGGCAAAGGTGGGGAGAGATATAAAGAAGAAAAATGGAATTTTATTTTTTGCCTCTTATGTTTGTTTGTTGCCCTTTGGGTCTGTGTGTGCATCACATGTGCTTAAAATGCAATATTCATTTTGTAAACAGCTTGGAAGCTTGGTTTCTGAAACTAGGTTTTATTGGAAAAAAGATCTTTCTTGAATTGAACCCCTTTTCATGCGTGTGTGTGTGTATATATGCATGTGGGCATATAGTTTATTTACACACACATTCACACATATTTTCACTCTTTTTTTATTCTATTGTTTCAGCTAAGTCAACACTTCACTAGAAGCAGAAGTTCTATGAATGAAAGGAGTTCCTATGCAACTGAGCCAATTAGATTTCCAAATGAACCACAACAACTGGGGGACAAACTAGAGTCTGGCTTGATTAGACAACCTCTGACTAAAAGCTCTTCAACAGAACATGCTTTACAAGATAAAGAACTGCAGAATAATAAAACATATTCCACTGGAAATTATAGGCAGTTATTATTGCCAGAAAAATGCAGTGAGGACTCACTAAACAAAACTGTAGAGTCTTTAGAGAGTTTGAATCCAAAAGAAACCTATGTCTCACCAGAATATTGGTCTGAATTCAAGAAAAACCAGACTGCCTATATTGCAGACATTGTCTCAAGCACTTGTGGAATGCATCAAGCAGATGTTCCAAGTGATGAATTTAATAATGTCCCAGGAATTAAAACAATAGAGACATTATTCATAGGTGAGGATGATTATAACCTCAAAAAATCAAGGGAGACAAGTTCCTTAGAAGATGATGAAGCAGGGAAGTTAAAAAAAAATGCATTGAAAAGAAAGGATAATAATATCAAGGCAGTTCAGAAACAACTTAAGCAGGAAATAGCTTTCCAAATTCCCAAGTTAAATTCAAAAAACCTCATCAAACATGAACCCCAAAGAGAAAACATTGAAAGCAAAAACCAATTATGTGTAAACAGAGGTTTAAATAGTGATGTAATAGCTAATGCTGATGTCACAGAAAATTATTTGATAAGGTCTCATTCAAAAGACATTGTAGAAGAAAAATATAACTCTGAGTATAATGTTGATAAGGAGAAAGAAATCATGCTGAGAATTTTAGAGAACACTTCAGAAAAACAAATCTGTCTTATCAACAAATATAGAAAACATGTCTCGTGTGACAATTATGAAATCAACCGTCTAGCTAAGTCACCTCAAAGGGAAGAAATAATGACTTCCAGTGTCCCAGATGAAATAAAAGAAGAGCAAATGCCAAAATCAATAGGGTTTCCATATCTAAGGGACAGTGGAAACTCAGATAAAAATAAATCAGAAAGCATTATAGAGGAGTCAAATCATGACTCAAAAAGGGGAGAAATTGAAATCCCTGAGAAAGTTCATAATACACTTTGGGAAAGTCAGTCCCATGTTGTACCACCAACTGATGAAAATATCTTTATGAAATCTATATTAATAAGCATAAAGGAAATGTCTGATAGCAGAAACAACTTAGAAAAAAGGAAGTACAGTCAGAGTGATGATCCTGCCAACAGAAATATTTCTGAGATAGAATGCTGCCAAAGTGAACCTGACATGGTTATTCTTAAAGATCAGAATATCTGGGACAGATCTATCATTCAAAGGTGGAGTGGTTCAGAAAGTCAGTTGGTAGAAAGGCAAAGTGAAACAAATAAAAGAGTGCAGATGAAGGAACTAACAGGAGTTGAAGCCATGGGGGGTATTAATGATAATACAAGATGTTTGAAAGTAAGTCCCACAGATGAACTGTTTACTTGCCAAGGCACACTAAGATATGAAGATACTTCAGTCACTAAGCATGATAGTACAGGAGAAGCAGAAGCAGTTACAGCTGCTTGTATAATTAAAATGACATCAGAAAGTACTCCTGAAAAAATGTCTGCTGGTGAAAAAGCAGTAATTGTTAAGCTACCCCAAGCGACGGTACTAAGTGACAGGCCCACAGAGAAAAAGGAAATGGTATTTGATATACATGAAGGAAGAAATGATGGGTCATATTATCCTCTTTGTCAATGCAATAGAGAGGGTGTATTATGTGACACCAAATTTGGAATATCTTCTTCAGGTATTAATAATGTGCCCACATATGAAACAGTACATATGGAAATGATTTCAATACATGAAACAAATGAAATGCTTGCCAAAGCAGAACATAATTCTGTAAATAATTTACCATCCACTGAAATATTTTGTCCTTTTTCAGCAGAAGGAAAAATTGTTTCTGAACAAGGTGTGCATTGTGAAGTACCACTGAAACATTCAGAACATTCTTCGCAAGGCTTACACAATAATGAAGCTGAAGAAGGAAACACCTGGAGTTCATTTTCTTACATAGGTCCCACAACTGAACCAAAAATATGCAGTTTGGATAAAAAATTGGTGGGAAGCTGTTATGAAAACTCCTCAGTGATATGTCCCAAAGGATTTGTAGGGTCTCATACTACTAAAGTAGAAGAGGTGTTGCCTCCACCCACAGATGCTTCAACTGAAATTGCAGCTCATTCTGGATATAACTTCAATCCAAAAGGTGAAATAACTCATGTTATTCTAAATATCACTAAACCCCAAGAATTTCCTCCTAGTGAGAATAGAGAAGGAAACATAGGTCACTTTTCCCATCAAACAGAGTTCAGTCCAGAAAAACAAATAAGGCCCACTATTTTAATAAGGGAACCGATTGAAGAAAGAAAAGAAACAAGCTTAGATTCGAAAGGTTTAATAACTGAAAAGAAAATGAATATTGTCAGACATGATAAGCAGGCTTTTTTTGATCATACAGGAATTTCTGGCCAGCAAAATGAAGCTTATAATTCACCTGCTGAGTATCTTGTGTTAAAGCATATTGCTTACAAGATACTTTATTTCCTTTTGTTCATTGTATTTTGTGTAACATTGTATCATTATGATTTAATTGTCTGCTTTGCACTCTACTTATTTTCATTGTACTGGCTATATTGTGATGGTAGGAGAAACAAAAACTCCATCAAAAAGGAGTAGTATGAATATTCCACATTGTATTTAGAATTTATTATCTGAATGTCTATGGAGATTCTCAGTAATCCAGGTCATGGTTGTCTCAAAGGTGCTTTTTTCACGAGGCAACTGGACTTTCTTGTTTTTCTTCTTCTTCATCGTGAGAAGCGGAACATCCTCAAAGAAAAACAAGAAAGTCCAGTTGCCTTGTGAAAAAAGCATCTTTGGGACAATTTATTATCTGCATGTCCCAAAGAGTAACAATGTCTATTCTTAAAACCAGAATTAAACTCCTTTCCTCTTTTCACATATTGCTTAAAAAGAATGCACATGGAATGCATATGTAATGCATATGCATTCTATACAGGACCATTCTGTTTGGAACATTAAGTATCTATACGAATCAAGAGTTCTGCAGCATATCAACTTATATTAAATCTAGCTGCTCTTTCTTAACCCATTATGAAGGTGTGAAGCTCCAGTCTCTTTGGATTTGATCATATTTATTTATTTTGTAGTATAGTCTCATTTTCTGTGAATTTTAAAAAATATAAATATATTTAATAATATAAATTAAACACTTTATTTTTTAAAGAAGAAGGAACATGGCAACTGGGCCTGTTAATATAAGAGTTTCCTTTGCTAAACAGTTGGCAATTAACATCACAATGGAAGGATGAGAAGAAGCACTCTCCTTATTCTTCAGCATAAGTGGCCTAAGAATGTTCATATTTCTTTATATGAACTATGCACTTGTGTGCCTCCCATTTTTTTTCTATTCTGCCATTTGAAGATATTCAATTTTTAAGATTTAGCGACCTAAATCTAAGCTCTCCTTCCTATTTAAACTCTGTTATTTGACCATATTCTTAATATATTAATATTAATCATGGGCACAATATACTGAAATTTTGATTTATGCATGAATCAGTACAATCAGTGAGAACTATAAATCATAAGGAATGTACTTCACTTGCTAAATTTATTAAATCTTATTGTCCATCTTCCGCAAACTGGCTCCTTCCAGATACACTGGATTTACAAATTCTTAGCTAATATGACCAAAGGCTGGCTAGAAATTCTACAAAGCACCAAGTTGGGAAATGCTGATTTACTCCTCTAATTTGTGGATGAGTGAAAGAACTCTGATACAGATTTCACGATCTGCTTTTTTTTTCAAGGTAATGAGCTATATAATGAATAACATTAATATCAGCACTCTGTCAGCTGTAGAATGCAAAGTAATTGTAATGTATGTGTAAAAAATATAAAATTAAGCAAGAAAACCAGGCTCCCATTCTTATCACAGAATTAATAGAGACTGATACACACTAAAGGACACAAACTGGAGCCTTGCTTTTTCATTTGTTTGTATTTTTGTAAATGAAGACTGTGTGATTTTCTCTCCCCCCCCCCCGCATTATTCCAGTTAGTTGTTTTGAATCATATTATTTAGATTATGTTACATAGAAAAAGCAAACCCAATGAAATTTAATAATACCAATAAAGTTTGAATGTTTTGGTTGTATGTGAATATTTCAAATTCCCAAATAAAAATAATGAAATATAACAATTGTGCTATATCCTATATAGCTATGAAAGATTAATTTTGATCAATACTGACAGTTTGGACCTCCCAGCTGCTAACTAATGAAGAATTTTCATAGCACTCATTCACTTTTTTAAAATTAATTTTTAATTATCTAGTTATCTTGATTCTTTGAAGACATAAAGTAATGGAAATGTAAGGAAAATAATTTTGTGACCTTTCCTCTCTACAATCTATAAACTACAATATCTTTAGTACAGCATTTCTAACGTAGTAGTTAAGTTCCTATTTGTACAAGCTTATCTCCTATTAAAGATGCAGTTTTATGTCATCTGGAGGAAAATGTCCTAAATGCAAACAATTTAGAGTCAAATCATCATTTTAGCTTATTCTTATAGATTTGTGTAGAAATGTTTAACTAGAAGACATTGTGCAAAATGTACAGTGAGGCAGAAATGGAATATTGTATAGATGGTATCTTCACTGTCAAAATGGATTCTGACTCGAGTTTGATTGGCTCAAGTTTTCCTACATATAATCTTTAAGAGTGTCTGCATCAGCTTCACAAATCACCTCATTAGTCCATAAAATAATCAAATATTTTATAAGATTCAAACCTGGCACCTAAATTTTTTTCAAAGAGCTTTAAAACAGAATTCTTATATTTCTCTATTGTTTTATAATACTATTATGTATCATATCATGTATCATACAGTAAAAACACAGGACCTAAGAAGCCTCCATCAGTTCACTAGGATTTGCCTAGCTGGAGTTCAACTGCACATGAGTTCAAGTGTCTTTATTCACTGTTTAGAATATTTCTCATAACAATTGTGCAAATAATTTACTGCCCAACATAACCTACCTTTTATTGCTAATCTATAATTGAGCCATTTCTTTTGTCTCTACCAAAGAAAATGGATGCTGTGCTAAGGCATGTCATAATACTGTCAATAGGTAACTATTTTGAAAGAAGACTTTTAATTATGTCAAGTATGAAAAACAAGAGATGCCTTGTCAGGTTCTCTGTATGTTATGTGATAAATTACCATTCATCTTTCTGTATTCCTGATACACTGAAACATCTTTATTCAGGGACATTTGGCTTTGAAAGACCTTTGCAACAAAGTAAAGCAAATAATCAAATTTGGAATCATTATGCCTATGCAAAAATTCCTTGCATGCACAGAACAGATGTAGGAGTAAGATCTAGGAATTGTGCAGCCTGATCTGCATTCACAGATATATATATATTTAATTTGTACTTGCAGTATTTAGAAACAGAGTAATATGTAATAATAGATTTTGCAATAATAGATTTTGATTTTTTTCTAAATTTGTCTCTTATTTTGAAACATGGGGGGAAGTAATAGACCTTAAAAATATGAAATTTAAAGAGTCATTTGAATGTAGATCAAAAGCTGAAGGAGAGAAGAGTGCATCTAATGTTCTACAAGGAGCACTGAGCCTTCAAGAGCGACTAGCATGAGAGCATGTCTAAAAGCCAAATTTAGGGAAGGCTATACTTTCTCCCTTTCATATGATAGCTCAAAACTATCTTGCCATTTCTGTCCTGCAGCTTTGACCTTTACTTAAATCAAATGTTGAAATGCATTGTAAAGGCCAAGAATAACAACAGTCTGTGTTACTAATTTGATAATGTGCATGCTGCTACAGAAAATAAGTGTTCAGACAAAATGGTGCATTTAGGTTAAAATTATTGAGGATCGTAAGCCTTAAAAGTGCAAGAAATTCAACACTAGCAAACGCTGCCATGACCTTTCAAACTGATATTGTTGAATGACCACCTGCAGCTGCATGTCAAGGCATAAGGGATGCAAATACACAAGCAAGCACAGAATGCTGTATAAGTCTCTTGCAAAACATAACAGAGGCTTATAGGGTAACAGTGGATGGCTTCAGGTCTTACTTCTTCCTCTTATTATCAGTGGATGTTTCATTTTCTACATTCCAATCAGCTAACTTTATAGTTTTCTTTTTACAAATTAATCCCTAATATTTTGAGTTTTCTTTTTCAAATTAACCCTTAATATTTTCATCTATTTCAAAGGAGCCACACTTCATTAAATCTCCCCCCACATCTTATTCTTAATTTCTGAGACATTGCATTCATAGGAAATTTTCATATGTGCAATATTTAGACCATAAATATAGCAAATGAAGCTTCTCTCTTGTCTTGGGACATACAAAAAACCCCCAACAGCATCAGGCTTAAGAAGTTACAAGTTACTGAATTAAATTTCAATCAACTGTTAATTCTACTAAATATTGAACACATCCCTTTTTTCACTTGTATTAAATATGTTTTTTAAAAAAATATTATTGAAATACAGCTGTGAATATCAAGAAACATTTTAATAGAAGTCAAAAAAGGGATGTGTTCAATATTTAGTAGAATTAACAGCAATTGCTGGCTTTCTAGTTATGAATGCTCATTAAACAACTTTAGCTGTTCACCTTAAAAAAATGTTAGAAGCAAAACTGTATTTAAAACTAACAACCACAGCAAAGTTTTGGTGTTAAAGGCAATAGATGAACATCAAATGAAAAAGAAATAAAATAAGTTACTCTTATTTGTTTTCTGGTTTATATAAACAGCAAGAGAGAAGGGTTTCAAGAGCTATGTTTAAATGACAAGAAGTGTTTTTTGTCTAGAACAGTATTTATCAGCATTAGCAATTTTAAGATATATGGACTTCATTGCCCAGAATTCCTCAGACAACAAAGCTGATTGAGGAATTCTGAGAAAGAATTAAAGATTTATTATCTTAAAGTCACCAAGGTTGAGAAACACTGGTTTAGAGCAAACAGGAGCAATCCTATTTCTCTCAAAACCAATTCTCAGTCACTGCATGCAGCTCTTCTATAACCATAATATGGAGATTAAAACATGTATATACATATAAAAAAAGGCTTTGGGAAAAATGCAGCTCTGCCCTTTGCTGTCATTTTTGTACAATGTGCTATGTAACGCCATAGTACAGTGGTTCTCAACCTGTGGGTCGGGATCCCATTTGGGGTCGAACGACCATTTCACAGGGGTCGCCAAACAACGCAGTCCGCCATTTTTTTCCCTCTTTTCCTTAGCTGTGCTACTCCCTTTTATTCTATTGGCTTTTGAAAGCCAATAGAGTAGACTCTCTTGAATAGAGTCTAATTCTATTAGCTTTCAAAAGCCAATAGGAATTGTCCAGGCTGTCTCTGCCCTGCTGAGCCCGCCAAAAGTCCCATTCTGCAAACGGTGCTGCACCAGTTGAGTAGTCCACGACTTATGACCGGTTGAGTAGTCCTCGACTTATGACCGGTTGGGGGTCGCGGCATTAAAAAGGTTGAGAACCACTGCCATAGTACCATGTAACACCATAGCAACATTAACATGTTTACTTAGATTTATATAACATAATCTTTGTAGGATAGATATATGGAGAAAAAGTAGCTTCAAATGGAACCAGTATGTGGTGTAGTCAAGTGTAGACAGATTCTGGTCAAAACTCAACCCATTCATTTTGTACACTACTCAAATATAGTCTTCTTTTGAGAATTATTTAGCTCTTTGATATCTGTCAACAAATCAATATGGTTGATGGTTACTTTGTGCTCGTAATTAAGACCTTACTGAATACGGTGCTCAGGAAGGGTGTACATAAAAGAAAGTAATCAAAAAAGACCCATAAAAATACATACAGTGTATTTAATTATAACATTTAAAATAAAACATATACACCATATATTGCAGAATTGTAGTATTTTCTGGAATCAACTGTGCTGATATAATAACAAGAAGAGAAGACTTTGAGTGCATTTGACGCTACTGTTTGTTTGTATCCATAGACATTTTTCTAAGTGACTAAGGAGAAAAAAATATCTGAAAGGGACTAAAGACTTAAGAAAACTTTTCCACAAAAGACTACGGTTCCTCATTCACCATTTTTAAACAAACAATTGTACCCCAGCTCATTATGGCATCTGAACCCAGTTTAGTGTTTTTGAGTGTTTTATGACTGAAATTATTGCTAATTTAAGTGCATGTGATCAGTAATCATTTGACCAATCCAGCCAATGAAAGCAGCCAATGATACTGTTTAATTGAAGGGACCTGAAACATGCCTCAGTGATTCCTGGTTTCTAGTCCAACACCTTGTTCACTGCATCAACTTACTTTGTTTAGTTTTCTCTTCATTACAAAGCCTCTTGTTCAAGAGGAAAATATATAATGAAAGATAGAAATGTTGATACTAAGATGGCAATGCCCAATGAACAATGTTTTTGCAAATTTCTCAGATGGCATATAAATTGGTCTCATGATGTCAGGTGAGATTCCTTTCCCCAATAGTTGAAGATTTGAAATGATACAGATAAAATAGTTTCTGTACACAACAAAATTTATAATTGGTTTTATTATTAGAATACCAGATGTGCATTAAACTGTTTTTTCCAGGTGATTCTGATTTCCTGCCTACTTCTTTCAGAAATATGAACAATGAAAATAAGACTTGCTACAGCTACTCTAAGGAAAATTATAAGTTTTATTTTAAACTTTCTCTTACTCTTGACTCTTACATTCACAACAATAATATACTGTCAATACTGAAATGCCTGCAATGTAGAGGAAATTAGAAAGAATTGAATGATGTGCTTAAGAACATCCATCTGGATAGATATAAAGAAGAATAAAGTTTTGATCAATGAAATATATTAGGAAAATTGAACCTTTGGAAAAAGTAATTTATTACTTTTATTACAAACAATAATAATAAAAATCCTTATGTTAATTAATAACTGCTTGGGAAATGTTTGCTTCCAAACTTATTGAATCCATTGTGCAAAAGCAAAACATTACACCAATATTAAATATACTTTTTAATATTTATTATATTAAAAGTCCTAAACTGTTAAATACAAGTATATTAAAATATACTTTCAGAATATTTATATTTACTGTAAGGGGCTCTTTCATAATATTAGCCCTTCAAGATAGACCAGAGCAGGAGACAAGCTCC